AAGGAAATAGTGATGGGATAAAAAAAAATTATGTTGTTTGGTTGGCAAGTCCTGGATAACTTATCCCGGGATAAATAATTAGTACCGGGATAAGTTATCCCTCCCCATGGGTGGTATAGTAATCCCGGGATAACTTATCCCGAGATAAAATAGGTAAATGACAAATATGTCCCTTTAAATCCTTTTTATACATCATTTTTTACATTTATGTATATTTACATTTTTTTTAATACCATGTATAATAATATTTACTACTCCTTATTTTTATGATAATTATACATATTTTTCTATTAAAAAATTATACTATATAAATATAATTTTTATTTATGAATTTATTTGACTAATTCTTATGTTTATTTTATTTTGATTTCTCATAAATTTTCGTCTCTTTAATAAACTTAAGAGGGAAGTTCTATTTTTAAGCTAAATAAGAAAAAAGTTATATTTTTAAATACACATGGTACTTATCATGGGAATACATAAACAAAAATATTTAAGTTAAATAAAATAAAAGTTTTATTTTAAAAAATGAATAACTAAAGCTCACAAAGAAATATTTAAAAAGTTTAAATAAAGTGAAGGGTAATTTTGTAAACAAACAACTTGTTCTTAAAATTTATCAATATATATTATTTTGAATATAACAAACCAAACACTCAATAAGAAATAATCTCAGGACAACTTATCACATCATAACTAATCTCAACATAACTTATCCCATCATAATTAATCCCAACATAACTTATTCCAGCATAACTTATCCCATCATAACTCATATTCAAACCAAACGACCCCTTATGGTTGTTGTTATTAATTCGTACTTGGGAGGGGGGAAAACGATACGGATTAATTATGTGTTGACTTCTCTTTTGTTTCCACTAATTCTACTGCACCAAGATGTGATTGATTGATTGATTGATTGATTATGTGTTGATTAGAAGGTCTTAATTTTGTCAGAATATTACTACTAGTTATGTACCTCATGAAGGGAAAAAGAGGGCACATTAGAGTTTTCAAACATGAACTTCATTTAAGATGATTATTTTGAGATTAATTAATTAATCAAGAGGTTGACCAATAAATTAAACTGGTATACTAGTTACGTGCATGAATATAAAATTCATGCATAACACAAACAAACCAGTGTGTTCAACGTGAACTTCCTAAGATTGTAAATGTATAGCTAAGTGTTCTTAAAAGGATGATCACTACTCACTAGTGGTTTGATTAACTATGGACGGAAAAATCCGCTCATCAAATTATAATCCACCCAATTCGTTCCAGTTTGAATTGATAATTGATCTATTTATTTATAAATTAGCTCAATTCATAAATTTATTATTTTTATTAATTCATTTTTTTTATATAATCATAATAAAGAAAAATAATAATTTTATAGAGTATTAAAAATAATAAAAGAATACAAAAAATCATTAAAACCTAGTTCATAAATATTGATTAATCTTATTATGTGACAAAAATTCACAGGGAATTGAATTCAACAACTTATAGGTCTCTTCAAAGATATTTTTAATCTTCTATAATTCAATATTACTAATTTGTTAAATCAAGTTAATTATAGGAGAAAGGGTGCTTCAAAAAGTGGGCACAATTTGGACTCATTTAGGGATTTATTTTAATGAATTTAGTGCCCTCAAATGCATATTTTGTCTCAATAATTGATGTAAATACTTGAATTTCAGGTATTTGAACTTAGGGACAAAGCATGGACACTATGGAGCAAAAATGAACAAGGCAGCCGAAAAAACGAAGAAAAGAAGGCCTGAGGATCGCCTAAACCATTGGGCGAGTCGCCGAATGGCCTTAGTCTCACCCAATGTTCCAGTGTGTCAAGCCCCGAAGGACAAAATCAAATAGGCGATAGAAAGGAGTAGTCGGCGAGTCGCAGAACGGTTCCAGCAATGCAGTACTCCATCGCCTAGAGTTACAAAACCTTAATTTGCTGAAGGCCAATGCAGAAAGGCGATGAACCAGACCAAAGGGCGGATCGCGGAGTGGATCAGCGATCTTGACTAACTGTGCCGAGTGATCCTTCGCAAAACAATTTTTGACACCTATAAATACTTGTTTGAATTTTTAGTTTAGGATGCAATTTTTAAGTTTTACATTTCAGAATTCAGTTTTAGAACTTAGTTTTTAGAGACAATTTTCCTTAGTTTTTGAAGATTTGAAGACTTCCAATTCGAAGAAATTGGAAGTGGTGTTGAAGATTCTTCATCGTAGACTTGTTTCAAGTGAATATAAATCGGACCCAGTTGATTATCATGCAATTTAGTATCGATTTCTTCCTTTTTACTATATCTAGCTAAAATTTCAAATTCTTGGGGTGTGGTTTTGTGAATATGGGTTGAATTTACTACTGGGTATTGCTTATATATAGTTATTTTGCTGTTTAAAGGTGATTTCGTTCAGTAGTTGTGTTTGAATTTAATGGGGTTGTAGTTGCAAATACAATTTTATCTTCGTGTTTTTGACTTGCTCGAGAGAGAGAGGTTGTAATACCAAAACTATTGAATCGATAGTCTGTGGTTATTGGGTTATCGTGGGTTCAGCTCGAGAGAGTGAATCCTAAACCCTTTCCCACACATTTAGCTCGAGAGAGTGAATGGACTAAGGCGAAGGCTGAGCTTTATTGTTGCTTATCGGTGTGAGAGAAACCGATTTGATTTGGAGTAAATTGTTTGAGAGAAAATTTACCCCCACTAAAGTCTTGCCTAGTTACCAATGTACATCGATTTACTATAAATAGCATTTACCCAATTGTTTATGTTAGCCCATATTTCTATCACATTCCAAGAATCCCATCTCCATATTTGCTCTTTCACTAGAGTTGTCATTTTAGTTCATAATTGCTTACAAAACCCTTTGTGATAATTGACACTTGTGTCATCTTTTTAATTTATCATGTTTTTACTCGTTCATGTCTATAGCTATAATTAACTTGAACACATTTTTAACTTTCTATTAATTCTCAATCGTAAACCGTTCCCTGTGGGAACGATCCCAACCCTTGGTTGGGTTATATTACTATTGAACGACCGTGGACACTTAGTATTGGATGAAACGCCCGAATACGTCAAGTCAGTAAGCGGGGAGAAAAATGATGCGCTTTGATTTGTATAAAAATGTATATAAATATATCTTCCATTTTTTTTATATCTGGTACAAATCCGCAGGTCCCATCCAAATGAAAGATCGGCCAAATATTAGCTGCGAAATGGAATTAATCTAAACAATAGCTATAACATTTAATATGAATTAAATGTTTGCTATTCTACACAATTTTCCCAATAAAAAAAGAGAATTCCAACATCTACTTCATCTTGGCTATAACAAAATACTTGGTCATTTTCTTTCAAATATTAACCCAGTTAGTATTTCTAGGCTAATATCTTAATTATGCTCCTTAGCTTTAGTTTGCCTAATGACGCGTTTAAGCTATAGTTTAAGTTGACGTAGATATTCTGATTTGTATATTTCGCGTGCTTTTATTAATTTTTACACTTCAGGATTCAATTTTTTTTGAATATAAATAAATTACTATTAAGATAAACTACATAGACATACTCCGCTATCATATTTATTATCATTATATATACTTTTAAAATATTACATATGTATATGTACTTATCTGGTGTATTCATGTATATGACGAGTGAGATTTGTTATGTATCTCAAATAAATGCGAATCTATTTGATTATTGTATATCTAGAATAAATTATGCCTAATTTTGATCTCATTTATTTAAAATTACATGTAAGATGATGGATCTAGATGCACTAAAATCTGGTAAAATTTATAATAATACAAACTAGAGTATATCTAATTAAACCAATGAGATTTATATAAAAATCGATAAAGATTATGTGTTGACATCTCTTTTGTTTCCACTAATTCTACTGCACCAAGATGTGATTGATTGATTGTGTGTTGATTAAAAGGTCTTAATTTTGTCAGAATATTACTACTAGTTATGTACCTCATGAAGGGAAAATGAGGGCACATTAGAGTTTTCAAACATGAACTTCATTTAAGATGATTATTTTGAGATTAATTAATTAATCAAGAGGTTGACCAATAAATTAAAATGGTACACTAGTTACGTGCATGAATATAAAATTCATGCATAACCCAAACAAATCAGTGTGTTCAACGTGAACTTCCTAAGATTGTAAATGTATAGCTAAGTGTTCTTAAAAGGATGATCACTACTCACTGGTGGTTTGATTAACTATGGATGGAAAAATACGCTCATCAAATTATAACCCGCCCAATTCGTCCCAGTTTGAGTTGATTATTGATCTGTTTATTTATAAATTAGCTCAATTCATAAATTCATTATTTTTATTAATTCATTTTTTTATATAATCATAATAAAGAAAAATAATAATTTTATAGCGTACTAAAAATAATAAAAGAATACAAAAAATCATTAAAACTTAGTTCATAAATATTGATTAATCTTATTATGTGACAAAAATTCAGGGAATTGAATTCAACAACTTACCTAAAATAACAGCTCCTGTTGGCATCAATATAACGTGGGGCACAAAAAAATCTCTGCAGTTAACGAAAAAAAAAAGGTCTCTTCAAAGATATTTTTAATCTTCTATAATTCAATATTACTAATTTGTTAAATCAAGTTAATTATAGGAGAAACAGCGCTTCAAAAAGTGGGGCACGTGTTAGAAAAATTTAAGCACTTGCGTCCTATAAAAATTAGAAACTGAAAATACGTAATTAAGGCAATAAAGTAACTTGAGAGAAGTAATTAAGTAACTTAATTAGTTAGTTCAGTTACGGTTATAGTAGTAACTAGTAATTAAGGAAATAAAGTAACCTGAGTTTGTTAAGTAATTAGAGTTTTTTTTCCATTATGGTAATGAGATGTGTATAAATAGATAACTATCTTTGTTTAGACTTCATAATTCACATAATTCGTTTAGGTTTACATAGGTTAACTCTTGATCAAGAATCAATGTCGAAGCAAATGGGAATATGTTTTCATCCTACTGATACGGAGCTAATCAACTATCTTAAGAGGTTTTTCAAAGGAGAATTATCTTTGAATCAGCAATGTCCTATCCAGTTTGCGGATATATATGGAGATCAACCACCATGGGAGATATTTGGAGCTAATTTTGAAGAGAAGTTTCGTTGCTTTATTACTCCTTTGAAGAAGCTGAAGACTGAATATAAAAGGTTTTCTCGAATTTGTGCTAAAGGGACGTGGAAAGGGCAAACCGGGGAACATCTTACAAGGAGGAATCGTACGGCGCCTGTGGTAGGGTTTAAGAGAAATTTGAAGTTTGAAACAAGTGAGTGTGGCCAAAAAAACACCTGGTTGATGGTAGAATATCATGTCGCGGATAGTTTCTTTAAGGAAAACAATCATATTCTTAAAGAAGATTTTGTAGTGTGTCGAATAAAGAAGAAGAAGATGGGTAAAGAGAAGAACGTGGATCATGTTATGAGGCACAAGTTGGAGATGTTGCGGGAATTATTGATCCTATGTTGCTTGAACCTAATCATAATAAAGACTACTCCTCAAGGGAAGATCAAGTTAGGTTTTGTGATGAACAAGATGCAGTTGAGGCTACAACTTCGGAATATGATGTTCAAAACAGTACTTATGAAGCTACTACAATGGAGAAGAGAGAGACAACGTTGGAAGTAGAAGAAAGCCACGGAGTTGATGATATTAGAAGCGATGAATTTCAGGAAGAGATGTATAGAGCATTTGAGGGCATTCCTGACGATTGGTTGCAGAATTCAACCGTTCTACAAGATATATAATACACATCAAAATATCTATATAGTTCCTTAGATGGATTATGTAGTTGAATTTTTTTTGTATATAGTTCAATTTTGCCCATATATATAAGGCTTTCTTTTTAATTCAGTTGTGTAACTTTGGCAAAATGATGTTGTTGAAGCATCTAGATATCTGTTTAAATTTGTTGTTCTGGAGCACAATTCAACTAATAGCTACTTATATCCACGGTGTGATACCTCCCATAGAACAAAGGAAACAACTCAATTAATACTATAAGCCGTGTAAATAGCAACATTGATAATGTTGAGATGTGTAATTGGCGATCTCGTGTTGAACAGGTACTATGTTATACCTGCTTTTGCAACTATAAACTTTCATATTTGACGTTTCTTCTGCATTTTCCAACCTAAAGCTGAGCCCTTCGATCAGTTCTGTTCCCAATTTCATCTCTGTCTCTCCTCGATCACTAAGTGAAAAACAGTCCTCCATATAGGCTCTTCTTCCGTTTCATCACATGACAACTCTATTTTGTAATGAGCTCGAATCTAAAGCGTCTACTTCCACGAAAGATTTTGACCGTCCACCAACTGAAACAGGTAAATAATGAGTAACTAGCGAGGCTGTTTTGGTCATTCCAATAAGCAGTCTGAGACGTGTCGTTGATTCTTAAGGCACCAGTATCTAACTCTTAACATGGTTGTGCTTTGTTTTGTATCTATCTAGCTGTGTATTTTGGTTTTTCTTGCTCCTCATACTTATTACCTCTGATTAGTCAACTTCTTGTCTGAGGTAAATCTTCAATCTCTTACTACTGTTACTGTGATGTTAAAGAAAATTAGAGTGTCATAGTTCTGCTGACCACCTCAAGTTCAATTCATCCTGAACTTGAAAGCCAAATCTTAAGAAAAAAGTAACCTCCCAAAGTAAAACAGAAAGTTTATGAGCACAAAACATCCCGTATTACCTCACTCCCCCTAGATGTAATCGTTAACTATCATGTCTGCTCGCAGGTGTTTTAGGTGTTACTGCCATCATGCGCAAAATGCTAAAACTCTCTAATTACTTTCTTCAATCTACGTAGCAGATATCTTTGATTCAAGGCCAAACTTAGTTTCAGTTTTCAAGTTGGAATGAGTAACCAATATAAAAAACATGCTTACGAAGTAGATGACAAGCTTGCCGTCAAACTCCTTAAGGTATTGATCAATTTTTTGTTTATTAAAACAGATTAATTGGTCCTATTTAATGATAGAATTACCATGGATCATGATTGATTCCTCTCAATATCATACGTACTAATGTATACATGAAGTTGGAACGACCTTCTTCACCTATAACGATTGGATGAGTGTTAAACTATTAATAATACCCTCAACCTAGGTACAATTCATATTCATTTTTACATTTTGATCATTAGATATTGTACAAGTATAATCACAATCTGAATGAATTTTGCGAGTAATCTCTTTCTGTTCACCTTCCGAAACTGCTTAACTGATCATTATCCGACCTCAGATGGATTGGAAAAGATAAGGGATTGTCAAACTTCGTTTCTATTAAACTCTTTTCCCATCTCAAATGATCAGTTACCATTGTTCTGTTTTTAAATTCCAAGGTAATTACATTTCTCCTTCGTTTATTACAATACCTTTTAATTCTTACTTTCCTCATAACTAGCTAATTTATCTATACATTAATTGTTTAGTTTACTTTATCAGCCAATAACTTTTATATGCCTTTACTTTTAAATAACCTAGCTGATGATTGATTCCTATACATATTTAAGTTCAAGTGCTAGGTTTGGTACATGTGCAGCCCTCTAATTTTCACATTTTATATAAGATGGTCGAGGTTTCGTCGTTCGGATGAGCTTCAGTTCAATTGCAATTTGGCCAAAAGGAGTGGGCTCTGAGTTTGAATTAGAAACAATCAAAGAAATTCTCCGAGGTAGAAACTACTGCTTATTCTTTGCAAGATGAGAAAAAGTTTCAAAAGGAAATAAAAATTGTCTGTTCTTTCAATGTTTTTGAAAAATGTTAGCTTGTCAGGTCAAACATCAAGCAATTCAAATGAACCACACACTCTCAACTTTACAGAGGTTTCAACTGATGGTTAGTAGAAACATAAATCTGCACTTGTATCATTCCTTCTTGCTTTATGTTTCCCATCTCTTAAGATTAAATGGCATGTGCATGCAGGTAATGCCAACATTTACCTCACTTGGAGTCAACTATAACAAAGATATGTCCAAAAGAGACTGTTGAAAGAGTTTTTATTAGCAAAGACATGACACTATTTGCGCACCATGTTGCGCACTCTCTATTTTATTATTACACATAACATATTGTATCAACTTTACAATAAAAACTTCGTTCATGTTAACGCCCGGGCATCCTTACTAGTATAAGCTAAATTCAACATTTTAAATCTTCTATAATTCAATATTAATTTGTTAAATCAAGTTAATTATAGGAGAAATGGTGCTTCAAAAAGTGTATATAAGCTAAATTAAGCTAACTAGCCCAAGTTTCATATAATATTATATTTTGGTGAATAATATTGTATATCAAATTTTTAAATATTTTTGTTAAAAAAGTATAGAAAAGTTTTGTATATTGCTATATATCGAATGTATATTATTGTATATCGAAAATTGTGTTTGAGGCTAAATGTTGTAATGTAAAGTTTAAACTATACTTTTATAATGTAAATTAAGTAATTGTACTTCTGAAATTTTCGTATAAAATAGCTTACATATAGATGTTAGAGTGGGGTACGTGTTAGCGAAATTTATGCACTTGCGTCCTATAAAAATTAGAAATTGTAAATACGTAATTAAGGAAATAAAGTAACTTGAGAAGTAATAATTAAGTAACTTTAGTTTGTTCAATTACAGTTATAGTAGTAATTTAGAAAATAAAGTAACTTGAGTTTGTTAAGTAATTTGAGTTTTTTTCCATTAGGGTTATAATATGTGTATAAATAGATAACTATTTTTGTTTAGACTTCATAATTCACAAATTGCATATAGTTCAATTTTGCTCATATATATAAATGTTGATGTTCTGATTATTGATATTTCTTCATGCAGTAAGAACTGTGCAAGCTTGTTTTCATATTTATCTCTTATTTCTCTTCCTATGCCAATTTTACCAGAATTACCTGTAGAAGAATCATCCGTGTTTAGTTTAAAACCAACATTAGGAGTATAATGTACTAATTATGTAATACCCCAGAATTTTTTTGAACTAAGACTCGAACCATTCTTCGTTGTGAGTAGGATTTTACCAAGGAATTTAAAATTTCTTAAGTATTAAGATCACTAGATATAGAACCTTGAGTTCCAAAAAGAATTAAAGAGAATTCAATCAAGTCATTCTTAGGTTCTTCTAAGTTTTGGGTCAACTTAAAATGACCATAACTTTCAGTACAAGATGAGTTACGAGACCCACAAGTTATCAAATGAAATATCTCTGAGTCCTCTTTCCAACGCAACCAAGTTTGCTAATTTTCGAGCTCGTACGAAGGAGATATGCCTTTTTGAAATCACGTTGTCCATTTAAGGAAAGTTACCCGAAAATAGGAGGGGTACTTTAGTCTTTTCCTTACCCCCACTTATTCTAAACGTGAATTACACCCAATTAAGGGTCTAAACTGATTAGATTAGTGTCATTCATCCCCAAAAGTGTTTAGGGTTTTAGAGAGAAGATTCAAGAGGAGAAAAAGTTCAAAGTTTCAAGTGTTCATTCAAGAAATTCAAGATTTCACCAAGAACCTAGTTCTTTGAGGTATGTAAACTTCTTTAGTGTTGGGTTCGTTCACCCACACGCTAATCATGAGTTTCTTTTGCGAATCTATCCATAAATATTGAACAATTTAATTTCTTGATGAGTTCTTGATAAGTGTTTTTGAAGTTTCCTTATCGATTAAGTTTTGATGTAAGATTCTACTTGGGTCAACTTCAAACGACCATATATCTTAGAATATAAAGAGTTACGTGGGCCATAACCTATCAAATTAAAGGTATTTGAATCTACTTTTCAACGCCACCAATTTTGCGTCAATCCAATTTCTGAGAAAAAGTTATGACTATTTTAGTAACCTATACAGTGTTGTTACGAATTAGCCGATGGGAAAACATTAAAAAGGGTTGTTTTTGTTTTTTTCACCTCCAAGAAAACCCTAAACGAATTTCTTGACTAATTAAAGGCTCAAAACAATCAGATTATCATCTTTAAATCCATCATTCTCTTCTCTCTCAAATCCTAAGGAAAAATCAAAGTAGAAGACTCCATTCAAGATTCTTTCAATCTTTTTCAAGTATTCTTCCTAATCTTTTTGAAGATTCTTCTTCAAGGTAAGTTTTTCTCCAAGAATTCCATTCTTTTCAACTCAAATTCCTCCATACAATTATTAATCATTAATGAAAATCATAATTTTTGGCCATAGAGATTTCAAGAAACTAATTCAAGAATCTCAAGAAAAGTTTTCTTGATTGTTTACCTTCAGGCTAGGGTTTCAAGGCTTCTAATCAAGTTTTCTTCAAGAACCTTGTTCATTCATATATGTAAGGCTATCATAGTGTTGGACTAGTTCGTCCTCACGCCCTACATCTACTTTCAGATCAGTAAGAGAGTAATCTAGGATACTTTCCCTAGATTTGAGTATTCTTGAGATAAGTTGATCTTGCGTTCATGTTTCTTTTAGAAGTTCTATTCATAATTATCGAATTACTATATTGTTATTGAGATCCTTCATACTATGAATCATAACTGTAACACCCCAGAAAATTTTTGAGCTACCACTCGAACCGTTCTTCGTAGTAAGTGAGATTTTTTACAAGGAATTTAAAATTTCTTGAGTATTCAGGTCACTAGATGTAGCACCTTGAGTTCCAAGAAGGACTGAAGAGAGTTTATTCAAGTCATTCCTAGTTTTTCTTAAGTTTTGGATTAACTTCAAACGACCATAACTCATAGTACAAGATAAGTTAGGTGAGCTACAAGATAGAAAATTAAAG